CAGCATGTTTTGAGTAATAATGATTTAAAATTCCCAAGTTTTTATATATTATTTGTGTCTTAAATAGCAAAGGCTTCGAAATGCATTTTAGTCGTATTGTCAATCTATTATGAATCGTGTTTTTATTCCTTTAGAGTGGAACCTTCTACTCGTTATAGAAAACAAGAAATTTTGACTTACGTGACTATTGCACTGGTACACCATATCATATATTTTGGCTTTCCTGTTAATAAATTTAAGACAAAAGCAAACTAGCAAAACATTGTAATGAAAAAAATATAACAAAACACAAAACGATCACAGTATTAATCCATTCAACATCTACTATGGCTAAATTGTTATAATGTGTTATAATTTTATTTAATTCGTTTTTTTATTTATAATTGATTCAGTCCATCGTATTTTTTTACGTATTGCTAAAGGACCTTCATAAATATTGTTTAATCATTTTCATTTAAGTCTGATGCCGCCGTTGTCGTGATGTTCGGGAATTGATTGACTATTATTTCCTGATATACTTCCTTTCTATACGAAGTTACAATATTTCATCGGAATTTTTGACAAATTTTAATTTTTTTATTTCGCTCTAATTAACTTTCCTACCGTTCCTATTCAAAGAAAAATTGATTTCCATGTTTTCGGTCAATTCTTAACTATATCAGAAGGCATTGTGCATTTGTTGTGTTTAATTTGTAGGGGAAAGTCCCCTCATTCGGACCTAGTGGGACATTTTTTCAATTAAAACCAAAATGTAATAACTTATCTAGTGTTGAGCCATTAACTTTGACATGTTTTCAATGTTTGGTAATTTTTTTAGAATTTTTTGAAACATCCAAATTGGTTAAAAAAAATAATTTTTGAAGGTCTGCAAGTGGTCCAAAATAGGAGACTGGGTTCCTAAATTGGACCACTATATTCTTGAATTGGACCACCGGTTCTTAAATTGGACCTTCTTGGTAAAAATGCATGAAATGAACATAATTTTATTTAAAATGTGAAAAAAAACAATATTAAATTTTAAAAAATAATAACAAAAATAAACGTTTTAGAACTACATGTAAACTGAACAATACTGTTATAATTAGGTACAATAATCACATAAATAACGCTTTGTGCGCGATTCAGCTCCTGAACATGTTTCGTGAACTCATTTTTTGCATCCATTGCACTGAATCATGTCTTCCAACGTTGTTTCCTCGCAGAGGAAGCAGTTCCATTCTTGCACATTGGCCTCTATAATAACGTATTGTTTTGTATTTGGTATTTTGTCCTTACGCAAACCAAATGGACCTGCTTTGGGTTCATTAAGTTCATCAACAAATTTTCTCTTAGTCTTCTGGTTTTTCTTTTGTTCCAACTGTAAATCTGTAACATTTTCCCTGTTGAAACCCTTCGCCCGAGCCATGGATGTTTTTTCTGGTAATCGAAGTGATAGTTCGGGATGTCTTCTAATGAAATTGTAATACCATTTTTTTCCAGCACGTTGTAGAGTATTGTTAAATCTGTGGTATATTTTGTTTTTCTCCACCAATTGATATGCAAGGTTCATCACATCTCGTCTGGTGATTCCAAAAAAGCAAGCTTCTAACCTTAGGACGTGTTCCACTAAATCAGCTTCTAATTCGGCAGGCAACATTGTAATCACTCCGGCGCGTTTCGTACTGCCCTTAATGTGTTTGTTACTATCTGACAAACGTCTTTTAAATGTGGCTTTTGGCACATTAAATTGCCGACAACATTCGTTCAACCCTAGTTGATTTTTACGAAAAGCAGTTAGTGCGTTATCCATGTCCTCTTCGCTCCATTTATAATACTTCTTTTTTGCTTGTTTTTCGGCATCCATGTAGTATAAAATCATAGTTAATAGATTATAACAAGAAAATTTATTATTGGGCATTGTAATACGAAGTTCTAAAATTACGCGCCTAGATACTGTGACGTGATTGGTCAAATCGGGAGTTCCTTCAATTAGACCGGTCCAAATAAGGAGAATCTAATATGGTCCAATGTACGCGCTGGTACAAAATTTATTATTTTCTTGTGTTAAAACGCTATAACGAAATAAAACATATTTATTTCTAGGTTAGGTTCTTAATTTTATTACGCTTTGACCAATGTAGTCTTTGTGCACTGTATTTATGAAATAATTTAGGCTATATATCCTTACAAAAACCTGCGAAAAGTTGTATCACAATGGTAGCAAAATTTCTTTGCAATTTAACAAGCAGACACTTACCGCTACAGAATGGAATTTTGCACAACACTGCTTTGGCGCCAAATACTTTCGAATAATATGCACTAGATGTCGGCAACTATTCTAGATTTAAAAAAAATAGGGTGGTTCAATTCAGGCACTGGTCCAATAAGGGGGACTTTCCCCTACCTAAATTAGTGGGAGTATCAGATTATCAACATCGAGTGAAATCTCATAGCTTCATAGCTTACTTGCATTTCACTTATTTTTGAGATACGGCAGTCTTGCATTAAGTGCGCACGTAATTTTCGGAAATGCAATACAAACATTTTGATGAATTTGAGCATTACGCAACTATTGATAACCGTTTATACTTATATATACTAAAACTACATTAACTTTTTTATGCATTAATGATAAATTTAAGAATTCGGCAAATTTTGACTTACGTGAATATTGCTCTCACAGTGCGATCTGTTTTATTTGCCACTCCCGAGAACAGATATTGCCAAGTTTCTCTCTCGCTTAGAGAAGTACGTACTTTTGATTACAGTAAACTTTAGTATATTTTGGTTAGACTATAAAAAAATATTCTATAATTGGGGTCTCACCCTTTGCTTACGTTCAGGAAGTAAAAAATAACATTTTGCGAATTTGTATTCGATAAAACAAATGCAAGTGTACTATTTTAAAATTTATCAGGCCTATCATAACTTTAAAACATCTACAAAATTTAAAAACATTCGGTTTTGCAGATTCAAAATTAAATTGTAAAATGTTGTTTTATAATTTTGATTTTTTTTTCCAAAAATCTGAACCTTTCCGATAAAAACTCAATGCGGCATCATAAACTATATATGTGTAGGACTATGTAATTTTATACAATTTAAAATCAATTTACTATGTACAATTTAGAAATGACGTCATCACATTACTGATGGGGATGAGTAGACAAATTTTGGTTAGCGTTTTACCATATACATGTATTCCAAATATAAATACAAAATTTGACAACAATCTGCTCAGTACTTTCGGAGATTATCTGTCTAATAAAAATCCGGGACGGGAGACGGACGGACAGACAAACGGAAACGGGAGACTTATTTCTTCGTACTGTAGGGATCATGAAAGGGCGAGAAAACGTAAAAGTAGAGAATCGGTCCGCGGAATCGATTACCATACTTCCTTCGCTTACACTTGGACAGTAATAATTATCTTGAGATTATAAAATTTATATTTAAGTACATGGCAACTAATTTCATTAAAGTATGTGTAACTATAAATAGAAAAAATTCTGTAACTGCATAATCATAGAAAATAGGAACATAGGAACATATGAATATGTCAAATTGCATTATTTTGATTATTTTTGGAAAAAATAATGAAAAAAATTTAATTTAGAGATTTAGAAAGAAAACATAAGTTTTTTGGAGACAAAACAGATTTCTTCCAATAATCATTCATCCATAACGTTAAAAATTTGAAAGTAAAAAATTGGTCCAAGGCTATTTCTACATTCTTAACTTCCCTCGCTCTTGAAGTACAGTTCAACAAATCCCGTGTCTTCGAAAAATTATAAAATCTGATTTTGCGATTTTTGTTGTATGATAATTGATAACCTTTCTAAAATAAGATCCAGTCACAGCATAGATAACAATCAGTAGAGACAGCTCGTGTCGGCGCCTTTGTTCTTTCTGACCCGAATTTTAAGCCGTCATGGGTGGTCGTTGCCTAAACTATTCCTAGATGTCGCCACCCAATTTAAAAAGTATCACTTCATTTACAATTTCAAAAATTGATTCGTGTACGCAATTTATTGCAAACTGTCTAGTTTGCTCAAATCGTATAATCGTGAATCGCAATAAGAAAAAAGAAAAGTCCATATTTAATTTATAAACACGATGATTTGTTACAGTTTTTATTTTATTCATAACCACCGTTGTTGTTCGTTTGCGACGACTTTTTAAACAAAAAATGTGTTATGTTTACTATCTTTTCCAAGAATTCCAAACACGAGGGAGAGAATAAGACGCACAACAGGGATCCGGTATGAAAATTCATCGGACAAAGATTTTACCTTTTATTGTGAAAATTACATTTTTATTTTGTTTAAAAAATGTGTTATGTTTACTATCTTTTCCAAGAATTCCAAACACGAGGGAGAGAATAAGACGCACAACAGGGATCCGCTATGAAAATTCATCGGACAAAGATTTTACCTTTTATTGTGAAAATTACATTTTTATACTATTTGTACAATTCTACCGGAAAAGCAGTCTTAAACAAGCAAAACTGGCAAAAATATTGTAACAAAACTGCCAAATTTCAAATATTTTAGACTATAGCCACTAGATTACATATGTAATCTAGTGGCTATATTTTAGACTAAAGTCCCTAGATAACCAAAGTACCGCAATTGAATGTTTCAATGTGTTAGAGAGAGAACGTATATTTCGGACACAATATGGCGACCGACAAACGTCAATGTTAATTGTCAAACGCTCTTTAACGCATCACCTCGTGGCGTAAGTCCTGTTTTGCAAAGTTGTTTGTGTTTTTTGTAAAGTTGTTTGTGTTTTTTGCAAAGTTGTTTGTGTTTTTTGTAAAGTTGTTTGTGTTTTTTTGTGGTGTTTTATGACTTTTATTTTAAAATGCCAAGTTGTTCTGTTCCTTTGTGTAAAAATAAAAGCCGATTGTTTCGTCTTCCGACAGGTAGGTTACAACTAAGTTTTCAATTGAGTTTTCTCAACTAATTTAAATTGTTGCAGGTGTTAGTAATAGGTCTAGAAGAGAGATGTGGGAGAATTTAACAGGCCGGGACGATTTGAACGACAACTCCAGAATTTGCGAAGTAATTTGCTAAAGCTTGAATATGTAATTGCACAATGTTAAATACTATTTACTTTTAGTTACATTTTTCTGAACAACAATTCGAAGCAAAGCGAGCAGATGGAAGGAAACTATTGCGGCCGAAATTTTGTTAATAAACTGGTATTGCAAGGTTTCTCATCTATATTTTTTACTCACCCCTTATGTTTATCAATGGCATTTAAGTGCACTGAACAAATAACGCTTAAACATAAATAAATGTTTATTTGAAAAAAATCTACATTTACGCTTTGTACGCGAGTATCGAGTCCGTTAATTTTTATTTATTTATTTTGAATTTGGCGCGGACACAATATGGCGCCCAATTGCGGTACTTTATATATCTAGTGACTTTATTTTAGACGTCAGTTGGGCGCCCTCATTCGGTCATAATGCGAACGACCACCAACGAAAACGGGTCACGAAAAACGGCGAGCCGTCTCTACTGATTGATATCTATGCTGTGATCCAGTGGCGTAAATGACACTCTGCAACCCCTGCGCTGCGGGGGCGCAAATTCCAAGGGGACGCGGTCCGTGACATACGGACAAAATGAACTATATTCAAAGCAGATAACCAACAGAAACGAGTGTATTATTATCGGTGTACCTGTTTAACTTCGATTGTTTATACACTGCTTTTCAAAAAAATTGCAACAAAGAGTAGCAGTGAAAATACGTTCGCCAGTTACTCGTTGGCACCCACTGCCCCTACGACATGCTCTGAGCCCCTCATTTACCACGCCCTAAATATTCGCTGCATATTCGTAAAATTATAGCCACTAGATTACATATAGTACCGACACCTGGTCTCCTGGCTGGACCCAAATTGTGTTGGTTGCACTGAAGTAACTAAATGTCAGAAATATATTTCATGTTTTGGTTGTGTTTTGTGTTGTCTACCCTGACGTAAACAACGTAGCACCACAGCATAGATATCAATCAGTAGAGACGGCTCGCCGTTTTTCGTGACCCGTTTTCGTTGGTGGTCGTTCGCATTATGACCGAATGAGGGCGCCCAACTGACGTCTAAAATATTTGAAATTTGGCAGTTTTGTTACAATATTTTTGCCAGTTTTGCTTGTTTAAGACTGCTTTTCCGGTAGAATTGTACAAATAGTATAAAAATGTAATTTTCACAATAAAAGGTAAAATCTTTGTCCGATGAATTTTCATACCGGATCCCTGTTGTGCGTCTTATTCTCTCCCTCGTGTTTGGAATTCTTGGAAAAGATAGTAAACATAACACATTTTTTGTTTAAAAAGTCGTCGCAAACGAACAACAACGGTGGTTATGAATAAAATAAAAACTGTAACAAATCATCGTGTTTATAAATTAAATATGGACTTTTCTTTTTTCTTATTGCGATTCACGATTATACGATTTGAGCAAACTAGACAGTTTGCAATAAATTGCGTACACGAATCAATTTTTGAAATTGTAAATGAAGTGATACTTTTTAAATTGGGTGGCGACATCTAGGAATAGTTTAGGCAACGACCACCCATGACGGCTTAAAATTCGGGTCAGAAAGAACAAAGGCGCCGACACGAGCTGTCTCTACTGATTGTTATCTATGCTGTGGTAGCACAAAGAGTTGTTAAAACTCAAAACGCCATTTTGTTGTTTATTGCAAGTTTGTGTGTTGTGTTGTTCGTGTAAAATCATACAAACTGAATTCACTAACGGTTCCAACATCACAAATGTTTCATATTTTTGTGAAGATGGAAAAAGTATTTCGAAACAGTTTACATCTTCTAAATAACAATAATATTAAAAATGATCAAATATGCAGTATTGTACTCGACAGTTTAGAAAAAACAATGTTTTGTACCTGCGGCAATAACATAATTGAAAATATTGTTAAATTATATATAAGAAGTAGGGTGTATTTTAATGTAAAAAAACATAACCAAAATAACAGAACAATAGTGTACAGTTCAAAGTCTATGAATAAAAATACTAGGAGATACATATACTTTTTTTTTTGTCCCATTTTCTTGGAGAGATTCATATACTACGAAAAAATGTTTCCCGTTGTATGTGTCAAATTTTAATTTTACACAATTTTTAATTTAAAAGAGGCGCCATTTTTCGTCTGGATTTTAAGTTGGCAGCACTAGTGGGACCAGTTAGTGACCCGATGTCGGTAGTAGTGTACTAGTGGCTATAGTAAAATTGTCGAAGTATTTTAACCCATTCTTCTTGCAACTTCACGGTACGACAAACCAGCCTCTCGCATACCCACAATTCTACCTCTATCAAAGGCGCCCAATTTCTTCAAATTTAACATAATTTCGCACCGGTGTCATTTTCTTGCATAAAGTGACACAACTGACAAACAACCATAAAAACAAAATGTAAAGTTTGTTAAAAAAAAAAAGATAAAAATGTTAACTTCTTCGCCAAGAAAAACAAGACAAATATTCCAAAGCGTGCGTTGTTTACCACCATATTTCCATCATCTTTTCCGGAGAACATGGTGCTTCGATGGGTGCATATAAGTCATTAAAAAAGATACGTTTTCTAAGTGTTGCATTTTTTTAAAAGGCAGTGTATAAATATCACGTAGAAATCTATTTGATTTGAATGAGTTATCTCCTCAAAACATAGGACTAAAATTAGTAAATAAGCCACAATGGATCAAAATCTTTTGAATATGACTATTATAATAATTATTATTTTATCATAATTAAATTAAGACGTGTGTATTCTCCTTAAATCATATAATAAATAGATACCAACACGCCATGTACTTTCCCCAGGAGAGCCTGTGACGACATCATCATGTCACACATCTCTCTTCTACATAGAAGGATTATAATGCAGCTATCCTTGCCTATTTCACTATTTGAATTTTGCGCGCCTAAATTTTAGGAAGTGTGTCTAAACTGACTTCGTACGAACGATGTTGACAGCTTGATTTTATAAATAATTCACGGTAGATAACGAAAGGAATAGTAAATTATTGGGCAGAATTGTGATTCGTTATGATTAGATCACTAAAAATAGTATCTTTGTTCTGAATTCTAAAATTGTTTTTCTTATAAGAACTCGAAAGACAGGTTAAAAAAACATCTGTCAAAAGCGATTTGTTGCGCTGGTGCGGTACAAGGACGGAAGTGAAATAGACATATACAGATGCAATGCATATAACAAAGATGAAGATGTGGTGATCACTCAAGAATAACATTATAATACTCCCCTTGACGTAGAAAACGACAACAGATAGCTTCATGTCTAGTCACAGCCAGGCTATGAAAGTATCAGCTGTTCCCATAAGAAATACAGGATACGGTAAATCTCACCCGTAGCTGACAGCTAGTGATACCAATAGTAAAATAAACGGTGGTGTAAAAACAAAATGTTACTAGTTTCGCGAAGTGGCGCTAAATTTCGCGCCTTTGCGTGAATGGTGTTTGGTGTCAATGGTGTATAACCTACCACCTACCACCCCACACATCGCCCTATGCTATCACTATAAAATTTATATTATTGCATCTGTGTTAACTTCAGGTTAATTGTTATAGTCAGGTGCTTTCGTGTTGTATTACACAATTTTGTTTGTGTTGTAATACACAATAATAGTTTACGATATAAGTGAAGTTAATAAATATACATTACTGCAGGTATGTGATATAATATAATTAATTTCAAGATTTTTAACTTATGTTTATAACAATAGATCTAGGAGTGGATTGTTACTGGTAAAGGGATGGATGCCACGAATAATATCATTAAATGTCTTGTGTGTGACAAAACATTTGTGTGCAACTCTTCCAAAAATCAACACATGCGAAAGTTTCACCAAATTATAGGAACAAGTAAAGGTAAGAAAAATAACATATCTTGTATATTATGTTCTAGGGAAAAACAAGTCCAAAAAGTTTTTGGTACTTATCTGGAATTAACAAAGCACTTTGAGGAAGAACATCACATCCAAACAGAAGAGGAAGTCATTAAGTGCAGTAATGTTGAAGAATTTAACAAGTGGATGCTCATTCAAAGAAAAAGTGTCAGATATACTATTAGAAGAAAAAATAATTGTTCAAATTCTAAAACTAATAGGAGAATTGTTTATTATGATTGTAATAGAAGTAATAATGGTCAGTATGATTACTTAAATGATGCTGATCATTTAACATTTAAAGTTTATTTCTGAAGGCTATGAAAGTAAAGCAGTTGCAAAATTTCCAAAAGCTGGAGGCAACATTAAAATAAAGGGAACTTGTCCATCACGAATAATAGCAAATTTTGAGGAAGATGGTAATACATATTATTTTGAAAAATCTTCAAATTTTCATATTTTTTTGCAGGAACAGTAACAGTGAAATACATTAAGTCCCATATTGGACATGAAGAAGATCTTAGATGTTAGAGGTTAACACAAATTGAAAGGCAAGAAATAAAAAATAAATTACAAACAGGGGTTAATAAGAAGAGATTAGTAGAAGATGCAAGGCAGTTAGAAGGCAACAAAATTACAAGACTTAATTTATTAACAAAACAAGATATAAACAATATTGAAAGAAATATAAAAAAAAAACGAGATGCTAATGATATGATTGCAACTGCAATAAAAGTTACAAATGAGTGGAATAGTGATGGAAAAAATTATGGTTTTTTATTTAAACAACAAGGTAACATTTTATTAATGTCATGGGTAAAGTGTATATTAAATTTAATGTAGAGAGTGTAGTAGTTAGCAGCATGGTTTTGAGTTGGTGTTGGGTGTTTGCTTAGCTTATTTTCTAGGGGAAGAGGCACATGCTTATTTAAGAAAAGATGATTTTGCGGTTGGGTTTATGAATTCGGTGATGGAGCATAAATTAAAAGTCCACAAAGATATAATTTATATAGATGGGACACATAATACAAATAATCGAGGATGGGAGTTAACTACACTTTTAGTGAAAGATGACAGGGGTGTTGGTTTTCCTGTTGCATTTTTAGTTTCAAATAGGAGAGATCAGCTAATATATGAAGTATTTTTAGATGCAATGAAAAATAGATTAGATGAAGATATAGAACCAACTTACTTTATGTCAGATGACGACCCCAAATATTATAATTCATGGGTTAAAGTGATGAAGAATAGACCAAGAAAATTGTTGTGTTCGTGGCATGTGATAAAGA